CTCCACTTGCAGTTTTTTGGTGGTCAGTTGCAGATAAGAGTCTCACGGACTTCCTGTTCTGGGCTGGCTTTGAATCTCAATCCTCAGTTCTCAGTCTCCACATGTATAAGCCAGTGGTGTCTAACTTCATTTTTTCATGATTAAATGCGCATGCCAGACTTATTAATAAATGGACATTGTTTCGATAATGTTTCAAAGCCTTTATTTATTTTATTTATTTATTTTATGCTGGTCCTGAGGCTTGAACTCTAGGCCTGGGTGCTGGCTCTGAACCCTTTTTGCTCAAGGCTAGCATTCCACCACTTGAGCCATAGTGCCCCTTTTGGCTTTTTCTGTGATTTAATTAGAGATAAGAGTGTCACAGACTTTCTTACCTGGCTGGCTTTCAAACTGATTCTCAGATCTAAGACCCCTGAGTAGTTAGAAGGTGTGAGCCTCCATTGCCTGGCAAAATGCAGTGTGTGTGTGTGTGTGTGTGTGTGTGTGTGTGTGTGTGTGTATGCTGGTCCTAGGGCTTGAACTCAAGTCTTAGGTGCTGTCCCAGAGCTTTTGTGCTCAAGGCTAGCTCTTTACCATTTGAACCATAGCTCCACTTCTTCAAGCCTTTTATTATAGGTTGAAAAACAAAATTCATATAACCTTCTTTCTCTAGAAGGAAGAGATATTTAATTAGGTCCTAGCAGGCATTATAATGCCCAAGTTCTCTTTTGTTAGCAAAGGGTAGTCACTAGTTAGATTAATCCTTTTGTAAGAGAATCATCACTCAGGGAGGATTAGGAATGGTAGCTTTTATAGACATTAAAGTCCTATTTTTAAAAGAATTCACATAAGATACTGCATCTTATGTGTCATTCATGAAACCTAGTGTTGGGAAGTAAAGGCAGAAGTGGTGTGTTAGGTACCTAAAATTGAAAAGTCTGGGTTTCTTATTTCTGTCACTTGTTAACTAAGCAAACTGTAAATTACTCCCAATACTGGGAAATGACATCATTGCTACAGTGTTTCTAAAATGGTCAAGACTTGGTAAATCCTGGTCTATCTGTCAAGCTTGGCTGGACATAAGGATAACCTAGCATACTTTAAATATTTTTAATATACTTATGAAAGGGCCTGTCTTACTGAGTTTCCAAAACAATTAATCTAGTATGCTGATGTTCAAATTTTTATATGCTCCCTGGTGATGCTTTTGTACAGCCAAGGATTGAAAATAATGTCCCATAGAGCCTTGCTGTGAAGCATAGACTTCAAACCAACAAACAACATCACCTGGGAACTTCTTAGAAATGCAAATTATATCTAGTGGCTCACACCAGTAATCCTAGCTATTCACCAGCAGGCTGAGATCAATCCTAGCTACTCATCAGGAGGCTGAGCATCAACGCCAGCCTGGGCAAGAACATCTGTGAGACTCTTATCTCTAATTTTCCACAAAAAAAGCTGAAAATGGAGCTGTGGTTCAAGTGGTACAGCACTAACTTTGAGCAAAAAAAGCTCAGGGACAGCACCCAAGCTCCTGAGCTCAAGCCCAGGACTGGCACAAAGAAAGACAAAAGAAAAGGAAAAGAAATGCAAAGTCTCAGGTCTCAAATCATACTGATTGACTAATAAGAAACTCTCCTGATGGTTCTATAAATCTGTGTTGAACATACATCTAGGTAATTCTGATGTGAACTGAACTGTAAGAATCTCTAAGCTAGTGAGTATACAAACTTATTTGAACAAGTGTCAGTCCGTGTTTAAGCTAGAACTAGGCTTGTAAACACTTGGGGAAGAATAAAGAAAGTGATGCTAGACGATTGGAAGTGTTTGTTATCAAGAATCAGCTAAACTTCGTGATCCCAGGAAGAAGGCTTTTTGTGTCTTATTAACATGTACTCTTAGAGGAGAGAAAAGCTGTGATTTTAAAATGTGTAGTTGGGCATGCTGGGGCAAGTTGACTTGCTTCTCTGATTCACTGTATAAAGGTGGAAAGCAGGCAATGGCAAACAGGTTATAATAGCCAAAGTAGAAAGATAGGGAATGTTTTCCAGGATAAAAGTGATTCTAGTAGCTATGGGAAATAGGAAAGGATTCCATCTTTACTCTCCATCCAGGATCCACTCAGGCTAACTCTGGCTAGGACCTAAAGGATGTTTTGTGTGTGTGTGTGTGTGTGTGTGTGTGTGTGTGTGTGTGTGTGTTTCCCTAGCTGGCTCACCAAAGCTGAAATTGAGTTTTAGTCCCTTGTCCAGAGTCCCAAGTTAGGTCTGGCCAATCAGTCCATATGCCAAATGAAGAGACATTGTGCATTGAGGGGCATCTGTGTTGATTTCATATCTTGGCTATGGTCAACAACACTGCAGGGAGCATGGTTGCTTTAGTATGGCATTGTTTGTGTTCCATTGGAGAAATGCTTAGGAACGGAATTGCTGGGTCATAGGAAAGCTCTATGTTTAGGCTTTTGAGGAACCCCCATACTGCTTTTCAGAATGGTTAAACAAGTTTACATTTCTAACAACACACACACACAATGGAATTCTACTCTTCCATTAGAAAGAATGATATTGTAACATTCATAAGGAAATGAAAAGTCTTAGAAAAGTCTTAGAAAAAATGATATTAAGCAAAGCAAGCCAGACCCAAAGAAATGTAAGTTGCATTGTTTCCCTCATTTGTCATAACTGGAATGTGCCTATAAATCTACAAGTAAACACACTTGACGGTAAAGGACAAAAAAAATACAATTGCACATGATAGATTATACAGGACTCTAGATATTCCCACAGAGGGACCAGCGAAGGATATTCTTAGGAGAGAATCACAAAGGCACAATTGCTATGTGCATATTATCATATATAATTATATTTATTGAACTGAACTCCAAGAAATAGAAACAAGGGGCTGTTTTTCCCTTTGTTTCTGGTTTTCTGTATTTATTGTCTTGTTTGTAAGTTTGCTTGAGAGAGGCCAAGGGGAAAGAATAGAAATGGTGGGACAAATGGTGAACAACTGCAGCAGTGACACTCACTTAGACACTATGTTGAAAATGAACTGTGCAATTTGGGAAGAGAGTGAAAAACTAGGAGAAAACAGGGAAGGGGTAACACTGTTCAAGATGAAATGTACTCATTACCTTGCTCATGTAATTTTAACCCCTCTGTATGGTATTTTCACAATTAAAAAAATGTACTCGTTGTCTGACTTATGTGACTGTAGTCCCTCTGTGCATCACCATACAAGAACAATAAAAAGACAAAATATCCCTCCAAATTAATATATGTAAATAAAAAAAGCTTCAGAAATGCTTGGTACACCAAAAAATAAATAAACTCAAACATTTTCTGAAAGCAAAAGAGAGAAAGAGAGAGAGAGAGAGAGAGAGAGAGAAAGACATTGTGAAGGGCAGAGGGAAGTTATTACAGGCAGTTATAATACAAGACAAGACAAGGCAGCACTTCAGTACATCTTCAGCTATTGCTATCTTAAGGGATATAGACATTAGAATCAGGTTAAGTACAGAGAGATGGGGGCAGGGAGTAGAAAAAGTATGCATAGTTAAGAGTCCCAAGTTAAAGGTATGGCCTGGTTGACCAGGAGGAATTCTGGAGAGGTTGTTAATGCTTTATTACTGTAACAAAACAGGAAAGAAGGTGGTCTTCTGGTTTTCTTTGGCTTCTTGCTTTAAGATGATAAGAGGAAGACATTGCTTGTTTGATGGGCAGTTTGCCTTCCATACAACCATGATACTAGTCGAAATGAACTCCAAGATTTGGAAACAAGAGGTTTAGCAGTCTTTTTCCCTCTCCTTCATCCTTTCTCTTTCTCTCTTTCCCTCTCATTTGCTTACTGTTACCCTATCCTTCCCCTCTTTGCTCTCTTCTTATCTCTCTCCCTCTTCCTCTTCCTCTCTCTCTCTACAGCCCCCCTTCTCCCCCTCTCCACTTTTCATCTTTCTCTCAGCAGTACTGAGGATTGAACTCAGATCCTCCTCCCACTTGCTTTGCAAGCATTCCACCACTTGAGTTATGCCCCTGGTTCTTTTCCTTGTAGTTTCTTTTTCAGATAGGTTTGAAAACTTATACCCAGGTTAACCTGGTAAAAAGCAAGTAGGAGGAGGACCTGAGTTCAATCCTCAGTATTGTTGAGAGAAAGATGGAAAGGGGTAGGAGAGGGAGAAGGAGAGCGAGAAGGGGAGAGAGAGGGAGAGGGTAACAGTGATAGTGCGAAAGCAATACAAGAGGGTGAGGGAGAGGAACAGGATTGCAAAACCTCCTGCTTCCGTATCTTGGAGTTTATTTCTGTTAGCATCATGGGGTTTTTGTTTGTTTGCTTGCTTTTTGTTTTTGCTTTAAATGTTCTGTGTGAAGTTATTTTATTTTATTCCCCTTCATCTCCCCCCCCCCGCCTTTGGTTTATCCCCTGTTGTCACTGTCTTTAATGTTGGTGCCCTGTGTCATATCTATATCTATATCTATCTATCTATATATATATATATGCTTATCTGGCTTGGGGAAGGGAAGGGGAATAACAAAATGATGACACAAAGGGCAAAGAGTGAACCAATGCAACAGAGTGATACAAGACACCGTGTTGGAAATGAACTTTACAACTTGGGGGAAGGGGAATCAGGGGAGAAGGAAAGTGGGAGAAAATGAGGGAAGGGAAAACAATGTTCAACAAGAAATGTACTCATTACCTTACCTATGTAACTGTAACTCCTCTGTGCTTCACCCTTACAAGAAAAATACAAAATGCTGCTAAATGTTTTGAACTTCCTGTTTCAAATTCCAAAAATGGCTGCCTTCGTTTCTAGGAGAAAATAGGAGTAAGACTTCAGAATACACAATATGTATTTGTGTGTTCTACCTAAGGAAAACACTTAGGAAAAACCAGAGCTCCAGCAGAAAACTTTTATCTTTCCTGCTTAGTTATCTAGCTGGAGGAGTTGCTACTGAATATTCTAAGTAATCATAAACACAAGGGGTGCTATCTTCTCTAAACTAAATATTTTCTTCTTCCAGCCAGGCACCATTGAGACTGCCATGGAAGACCTGAAGGGTCATATAGCTGAGGCATCTGGAGAGAACATTCAAGGTTTCTGGCTCTTGACAGAGTGAGTAGTTATAGCCAAATGTCAGGAAATTAAAACATGGCATTTTCTTCTATATCACCTTCACAGAGTGCTACACGAACACGGGGGTATGTTAGGGCTAGCATCACAATTCCTTGAGCATGATTTAATATCAAGAGAATGATTAGTCAAGCCATTTGTTTTCAGATAAATATGAATAGCTGTGTCATAAGAATACACGCTTTGACCTCAGCTCTGAACCTGATGAGCTGTGAAGTAAGGTATACCTGAAAACTCGCTTTTTTTTCTTTTCCTGTTTTTTTTTTGACACCTATTCATATTAAGGTATCTCGTACACCTGGAATTTCATGCACTCATGTTTTCTTCTTTGATTTCAACGGTTCTTTTCTAGACTTTGAAGCCATCTGTCTTCTTTAAATGGTGTTTCTTTAGGGTCCATTTTGGTATTCCTCTGTATTAGAACCTTCTTCTTCCTTCTGATTTCAGTCATGTCCACAAAATGAGAATTTGCTCACTCTGCTCTGGTTGTTGAATTTATTAGCTGGTCTAGTGATTTCTTATGTAACAGAAAAAGCTGCAAGTTGTAAAGAAGATGATTCAGGCGGCTGGACTTAATAAATGGGTTCTGAGTCACTGTAATTGTTCAAACACAAGAAAGAGGCCCATTGTCAGAAGGAAGATCACTTGCGGAGTCTTTGCATGATTGTTTGCAGCTCAGTCTTTTTCTTTGTTTGATGAGAGATTAGAGTATGTCAACAGTGGGGAAAGGCAAATGAAACACTAATAACAAAAATAAGAAAATAAAATCCCAATGCCTTAACAACAACAAAACAAAACGCAAACATTCAAGCTAGAAAGGAAAGAGCCTAGGGCTCCTCTTGCCCTCTTGATTGTTTTTATTATGAACTGAGTTCCATACACATGGATCTCAAGAATAAAGAGCTTTAAGATATACCCTTCTCTAACCACACCAAGTATACAAGACTCTTCATATACCTCTGTGTATGAAGGGAATGACCCAGCTCCCAAATTCCTTGGCTTTTACCTCCTTCTGTGTAGATGAGACAGCTCTGGTTGCTCATCAGAAATTTGAGGCATGTTTAATTCTCAAATAATGATTCTGGTTTCATAATGATGAGAGTAAAAAACCTTTTCTTATGTATAGCTTATTAAAAAGTATGTTTAAATTCACAAATTTTCTTTAACTTCCTGGCATCCTTGCTCATCGTTGCTCATGATTGCTATTTTGCAAATCAGAAATGAAGGCTGGGACCATGAAATGGTAGATGGAGAAAGTCTGTGAGAGAGCAAGGTAGGTGAGCAGTACCTGTACTCACCTTGAGGCTCACTGGGTTCTCATTATTTCCAAAAGGGTGTAAGGTACAGTTGCTGGGTGATAGATGAGCTCAGCTACATCTTTAGCCATGATTGGTCAGACTTCTAGCAATCGTTTGAAAGAGGAGAGCCAGATGGGAATTGGAGGGAGAAGAGTCTGGGGAAATGTTTGTGGACCTCATGTGTTTGGTTAAGCAACTTAAATGCTATCCCTTAGGTGTTAGGAAGCCACTGAAGGATTGGAAAAGTGAAAATATACTTATATTTTATGAGGATCACTACATAGTTGTAATCTCTTATCTAAAATCTTATAGAGCGACATGAATTGAAAGTGAGATATTTTTCATACTTTAAAATGGTGAGATAATGCATAGGGTATTTGTTTTATGCACCAAGAAAAGATCTAGGAAAGCCCACTCCATAAAAAAAAAGTTTCTGGAGGGAAATTCAAAATGGAATAAATAAAACTATAAGTTTTATTCAGATATGGTTTCACCATTGTTAGGTTTTTAAAAAAGAGGTAGCCGAGTAAGAACAGCACCAGCACGCACGTGGTATTCAGGTAAGGGGTAGGTTTATTCAGTAGACCTGCTGGGACCAGGCAAGGTTGGCACTCCACGCAGCTGGGAAAGAGAGGAAAGAGCTAGAGCAGAGAAAGAGCAGAGAGAGCTAGAAAAGAAGAGCAAGAGCAAGAGCAAGAGAGGAAGAGTGTCTGGGCCTGGGCTAGGCCTTATGTAGGGTATGGGCAGGGAAAGGTGTGGCCACACCAAATTCAGATGTGACCTCAGAGGATGCAGATGTGACTTCTTCCAGGTGTCCCAGTTGCCTAGGTAATGCAGGCACTGGGCGGAGACTTTGCTGGGAGGAGGGTGGAGTCTGCTTGCCATCCAGGGGCGGACCTTACAACCATAAAATATGTTTGTACCACACCTGCCATTTTCAGAGCTGTATTCAAATGGAAATGTGGTTGACAGTTTTTGACTTGTATGTTTGAAATATAGGGCCAAATGGATGAGTAGCAGAGCAAAAAGACAGGTTAGGTACTTGTACAGTAGCAGTGAGGGTCCGATCCACTGCTGTAAATCCCCTGGTTTGCTCTAACTCATAAGAGGTATTTGGTACAGAATCTTAAGAACAAGCTGTTAAACATTAAGAATAATTCATATAATAGTTTCACCAAATATATAAAGCATAGTAAATAAATGCATCACATTCTGATTATTTTATTTTGATGTTGAGCATGTTTTGGGGGCTCCTTAGTCTATTATATTGATAAAATGGAAATACTGTATAATATTGGGGAACTGCGCTTTTATTCCTAATTCCTTCTTCAGTGTTAATACTGTTTTCAGCTTTTGTTCAGCCAGCTTGGAAATATTCACACCACAGCAATTGGTAAAGACAACAGAAGAAAGCTTACTTTCTTGATTTATTGCTTTGTTAATTATTTAGCTTTAGAGTTTCCTGGAAATATGTTAACAATGTAGATAAAATTCAAAAAGTGGGTCTTGCCTGTAGCTTTTGCATTATAATAGCATTAAAGGTTTAGGAATTTGTATGTTTGTCCCCCATGGTATAACCCCTGTTGTCATTGTATTTGATTCTGGTGTCCTGCATCTTATATATAGATTTTGGGGAGGAGAAGGGAAATAACAAGATGCTGAAATAAGGATACAGGATGACCCATTGTAACAACAGTTGTATAAGACACTATGTTGAAAAAGAACTTTACAACTTTGCGGGGGAAGAGGGGACAGGAGGGAGCAGTCGGGGAGATGGGGAGGGAAGAAATGGGAGAGGGAAAACAAAGGAGGAGGCAACAATGCTTGATAGGAAGTAGATTCATTACCTTGCTCATGTAACTGTAATCCCTCTCTGTACAGTATATTTACAATAAAAATGTATATTTAAAAAAAGAAAAAAAGTTTAGGAATTACAATTCCATTGGCAGAGCTGGAAAATCCAAACTGTGAGACACTCCCCCCACCCCCCCCAAAAAAAAAGAAAAAAAGGATTGGGAGTTGGAATGCCTTCTCTCAATACACTCTCTGAATGCTGAGAGTTTTCCCAGAAAGGTCAATCAGTCTGGGCTTATTGATTCCACCCTAAACTGTGTGGGAATCTAAGGGTCTATGCAAATTGTAGGCTGTTTACTGTTTAGCTCTCCTTCCCAGAATAAGCTCACCTACAACTTGTATACAAAATATTGTCACATGTTGAATTTTTACCTTATTTCCCTGCACACCACCAATAAAAACCTTGGTTCATGGAACTTATGGATCTGTTGTTGGAGGATGGCTATGGGTCCCCTAGTGGCCCAAACCTCAGCTCCATGGTCCATTCTCCATAATTGCATTGCTCCTGGGCATGGTGGATTAAGGAGCATGCAGCACCCAGTGGGTTGCAACTTTCCATCGTTAAAAAAAAAGCACATCAAAGGTTAAACATATCTTTATCCAATGATAAATGATAAATGAATAAAATCTTCCTGGGTAATTCTGGAAAGGCTATTACAACCAGGCAGAAAGCTGCAAGGTAGCAGAAGATCATGGTCTGGGTCTGTGTCCAATGCATTCTCCACCAGCTTTTCTCATTATCTTGTGGATCCCGAATGCATGCCAGAAATAATAAAAATAAACAAACAAGAAAAGCCCTTAAAACTCTTGTGCATGCAACATTCCTTTGGTGCCCACAATTGCAAGAATCACATGGCATTTACTTTAAAAGAGAAATACTAAAAAGGAACTCCATTATTTATCTCAGAACATTGCTTGAGTGTTGCATTTGGAATAGAGAAGTTATATATTAATATCCGACAGAGCTGGATTTTGTTGATGCTTGATTATAAGGAAAATTCACAGTAACACTTGGGTTTGGGGTCTGGGAACTGATAGGTTGACTGCAGCATGATTTCAGGTTTACAAGGAAGTATCATAATACTTCATTGAGAAACTACAGCATAGACAGTCAGCTTATTTTATTTTATTTTTTGAACAACCTAGGCACTGTCCCTTAGCTCTTTGGCTCAAGGCTAGCGCTCTACCACTTGAGCCACAGCGCCACTTCCTAGACAATTATTTTAGAAGGTACTTTGTGCACACAGTCTCACTTAGGTCTCTCAACAACCTTGTCTTCCAACTTTTCAAGAACTTAGTGAGTGAAATTTGTAAAACTCACTGTCTCATATGTCCACAGGGAACCCTCCTGAAGAGGCTGAGTATCCAGTGTGACAGATGGGACCAGATATTATCTTTTAAGTGTAAATTGAAAGGGACAAATGAGTTTGGCACCCTTGTTTATTCTAGTAGTGCCTTCATAGAGGCAAAGGGCTTAAAAATTAAGTCAGGGAAGCCAATTAATATTTTATTCATTTAATATTGTCAATTGATATGGATCTATTAATTGGTAAAATTAGGAAAGTGAGTTTGAAGGTATTCAGGAAGAGGACACAAGGAAAGGCAGAGAGACCAGAAGGGGAACTGGAAAAGTGTAGCCATAAACTCTAGCTAGAGCCCACTGAGCTAAATTATGGGTATCTCAAAAAGTATCTGTCTGGATCTAGGGCTTTAGCCTGACCTATCACAATGATTTATATACCTGCACAGCTATAAAGAAAAGATGGTGTCTATTTCAACCTTACCTCCTTTCCTTCCTCCCTTTCTTAGTCCTTCTGAAAAAGGATACTT